TATGATATATTATTCTTTTCTTTTATCAAAAAGTAAGAAGCCATGAAAATTAAGTTTTTTTTGAATATAAAATTTTTCCAATTTTAGTTTAAAATTTGAAAACCATAGGTTAGATTTAAATTTAAATCTTGCATAATTTCTCTATTTAATCTTTATATTAAAACTTACGAGATTACACACCGTATAATAATCGGAATATTCAATGAAGCAGCTGCTTGATGCTGTTGTTGTCATAAACAAGGAAATTGATGTGGAACCATTTTTGAAAGGGAAAGGAGACGGTAATTGAATCAAGCTAATCAGGAAGCGCTGAGGTCAAAGGGTATGCAGATGGTTAGGGAACAAATATACATACAGGCAAATATATATACACAAATAAACATTACAGATAAAACTTAATCGAAAATATCAATAAAACAATAAATAATATCAGAATTTATGATTGTAATTATTTTCGTTTTCATTAAATATCATAAAAGCCAAGAGAAGCCAAAGTAAATGAAGGGATAGTTTTTTTAAAAGTATCATTGGCCTAAATAAAAATGATCCTAGTTAGTAGCTATAATAATAATGTTGAATATTTTAAATCAAAGCTTAGGGATAACGAATGATAATTTTATTGCCATCGTTTATTTTGATTTATTTATTTTCATGGGTTAAAAAAAATAAAAAAAAATAGAGAAATTAAAAAAGATCACACATACACCTAATTATGCTAAGACAAATTTTAGATTATGCAAATTAATTAATTGCAAATAAATTTATGCATAAATTTAAATATGATTTGAAAATTTGTCATATGAATGAATGGAGAAAAAAGGTATGAAGACAATGTGAAAAACAATAAGGTATTAATTAGTATTAATTGAACAAAAATTAGTCGCAATTTGAAGTAGCAGTAACACTAATTAAGGGATTAATTAAACAGAGTAAAGTATTGAATAATATTTAAATAAGGAATTAATTTAAAATTTGTATTCAATTACTATAAAATTAAACTTTAATTATTAGCAAACAATTATGCTTAGCATTTATTACATTGATTATAAGAGAGAATAGAAAAAGAAAACAAAGTTTTCAATTGGCTACGTTTATTTATTTATTTATTTTTGTTAATTTAAAGATAAAAACTTTGGAACAATATTATATTTGAAATAAATAAATTGATTTTCTCCAAGTATTACTACTACCTATTAGAATTTAATTATACCTTTCATTTATAATTCGTCATTAAAACACTTCAGCAAATATGCAAATTTCAACAAATGTGAAAAAATTTTATAATTACGAATTAATTGGAATTTTGTTTTGTTTTTTTTGGTTTTTTTTTTTTGCTATTGATAGTATATCCATTTCCTGTTAGTTCGTTTCCGTTTTTATTCAATTTTGAACGCATTTTTTTAATTTAAATTTTTCGGATATTAAACCGGAAATTTCATCCATTCTCTCGTTAATCGTTTTAAATGACAAGTAGCTTTGTGGTAACTTTAATTTATCATTTTTTTTTCACAATTACTAATAAAATGAAAAGCTAAAAGAAACCGGAATGAGTGAAATTATAGAATCAATCATACATATATGTATCATCGTATCATCCAACAACAACGACATCTTTTTTTCGTCATCCAACCTCAATTCAATGATGAATTGACACATGACACATACACACACACATACACAGACATATACACACACGCATAGACAGACCGACACACACATATGTAGAGATGTATATATAGATATTTTTACAAGATATTATCCGGGAGAATGAAGGAGGTAGTAGAACTATGAGGTTGACAACGATGATCATCTTCCATTTCGATTCCTACAGTAATCTCCCGCTGTGATTTGTTGAAAAAAAAAAAAAAGGATGGAAATAAGAAAATTCTTTTCTCGCATGTTCGTTCATCCTTCGCACCAACATTGAATGAATTATTTTGTATGAGTAAAGAAGAAAAAAAAAAATCATTTTACCAATAACTGTTTTATTGAAAAAAAAAAAAATTATAATTAATCTATCCATCAGTTAGTTAAACTATTTAGTTAATTGGTTAATTAGTTAGTTATTAGTTAATTAATTAGTTAATCAATTTATCTATTAGTTGGTTAGTTAGCCAGTTAGTCCAAATATCAGTTACTTAGTTGATCAGTCATATAATCCATCTAGCTATCCATCTATCGTTAATTAGTTAATCAATCAGTTAGTTAATGAGTAAGTTATCGATCCATTTTCAAATATCAATTCGTTTGTTTACAATTAATTTGCAATCGTTGCATTGTCATAATTGTTTTTGATTTTTAATAAAACTGCAAAAAAAAAACAAGGAAATCGAAATAAATTTCGTTGGAAAAATTTGCGAAATTTTTTGTTGTTTTTGGATTTATGCTAGAATTTTCTTTTTTTTTTTAGAATAATTTTCACACTTTAAAAAATATGCAAATATACATTGAATGAACGAATACATTGGTGACAATGTGATCAGAATACAAATTTAAGTTCCGTTGGTGACAATGTGATCAGAATACAAAATTTAAGTTTCCGTCATTTTCGTTCTCTTACATTTCTA